AACTTGGACTTGAACCAGCTGAGGAACGCGATGCTTCAAATCATAGTCCCTTTAGGCAAATCCTCAGTCTGAAAAGCGTGCATATCCTGGCAGCCTTCATATTTTTGTATGTCGGTACCGAGGTACGGGAGCCAATGCATCTGTATTGTCCGCCTCTTAAGTATTTTGGATGCACTTCTAGGTCACGATTGGGTAGGCTTTCTAAATTATCTAGATATCTGTAATCTCGGAGGATTTACGGAAAAGCTCTCAGTGGATGGACAGTCACGTATATCATCCAAGAACGCGATACTGGAGCCAACTCTGGCTATGTTGCTTCGGGATTCTGGGGAGGTGAGTTGGTTCTTTTTGAGCCATAAAACCATTGTGCTGATACCAATGTTACAAGGCATAATGGTAGGTCGAATAATACTCATTTCTCTGACCGCTTGGCTCGGAGAACGACTGGCAATCGTTGTTTATACGGCAATGGCCATCGGGTAAGTAGATCTTACATCGAAATCTCCGTTGGAGTCTGCACAAGTGTCTCCACAGGCTTGAAATCGTTGTCTGGCTTGTACCCTCACTCATTGGCAATGCCGTTGCCGTCTCTTTCGTTGGGCTTTTTCTTGGCCCGATGTTCCCCATCGCCCTGAGCACCTCCCGGAAGATTATACCCCGATGGATCTACACTGGAGCTATTGGTTGGATCACTGGGATCGGACAGGCAGGTAGGTCTTCAATACACTTACAGCTCCTCGCAAGTCTTGTTCGGCCTAAATCCGCTTTTAGGAAGTGCGGCGCTGCCTTTTATCACTGGTGCAGTGGCCGATGCTGCGGGCATCGGGAGCTTGCAGCCCTTGTAAGCCAATTTCCTTAACTTATTACTGCTAGGGTCTGATCCTGTGTTTGTCTAGGTTGGTCGGGATGATGTCAGCTATGATTTTGGTATGGCTGATTGTGCCCAGACCTACGAGGCCTGAGTGATTCTGAGCTTTCCAAATTCCACCTTCGGGAGTCCCGCCGAACTCAGTTAATACATAGCTGCCCGGCGTTATGCAACCCGGTATGTTCTATAGCATTCCTGTTTTATCCCTTGTGGGTGGAATCTGTTGTATGATAGATATATATGCACATGATGGGACAGATCTCTGAGTCTTCTGCCAGTGTAAAACGTGTGAGTATAGCGCGAAAGCCCATGAGTGTAACATCTCCCGTCGCCGTGTTGACGCGTCGAGATCGACGACAAATATCTCCTTCATCATAGTCAATGTGCTGCACTCTTTTGAGAGCCATACGAGCGGTTGACTACCACACGATCCTACGAAAATGATGCAATACATCTATGCCACGGTGATTTGCGAGTGTGCGGGGCTCCACATTATTGGACAAGACTGTACAGTTGTAAATTTGGTTTGCATCCACGGAAGATATACCCCAAAGCATTACATGTAGGACAAATTATAAACAAACAAAATTAGAGCGTATAATGATACATGCAAGATCGGAAAAGGACTGTGAATTGATGAACGAAGGTGATAATAGTACATACAAAGACATCATGGAAGGACGAGTGAAGGAACGTCATACGTACGACGAACGGATCTTGCCTACCGCCTCATCGAACTGGATTTAGGTATCGAAGGTTTGCTTTCGTTTCAATGCTCATATCAATCGTGGTTGAGGGTCTGGTAAGTCTAGTCAGCAAATTGGAACCGGAGCAGTTTAAAAAAATACCAACATATTGGGGAATAAAGAACTTTAGCTATATGGGCCACGGATACCCGTTACTGCTTCGACTCTTGCTACTTCTTTCCGGAGCGCATCTCTACCTTCTTCTAGCCAGCGACAGTACTCGACTGCCCTGAAAAGGACGCCGCTTTTCCCTTTCGCGCCTTCTCCGTCTTTCCCAGCCTTCTTGCCAGCTTTCCCTCGAGTTCCGCTACCCTTTGGTCGCCCACGCGTAGGCATTCCCAAAGCAGATGCGTTCCCGCTCGGAGCTAGCAGAGTAATGAGTTGTGCATATCCGTCCCGAATAGCATTCCTCCGTTTCTGCTCGGACTGAATATGATTCAATCGCTTTTGTGGCGTAGACAAAAGCGGCTTAGAGCGCGCTGAAGTCCCGGATTGGGTGGGGGTAGACGGAGAATCCAGTGTCGGAGACAAGGGTTCCATGGCAGGAGGAGTGGTAGATGAGGATGTATGGCTGGAGGATGTACTGGTGCTCCTAGCAGCGGGCCGTGTGGACCTGGCTGCTGAAGACCGAGTGCTTCTTCTTGGACGTGAAGAAGCTGGGTTAGGATCCGGAGCTTTATTTAGGTGAGGATTCGAGTAGGGCGTGTTGGAAGGTAGTTTAGGCAATTCTGGTAGGGTACCAAAGGGATCCTGGTCTAATGAATCAGCTGAAGCATCCCAGAGGCTTCCATCGAAGCCATCTAGAAAGTTGAAGAGCTCATTGGTCTCTGATTGGGAGAAAAGCTCTGAGGAAGGAGGTAGTTGTGGTGGTTGTGGAAAAAGACTGGAGAGCTGTGGGTCAAAGCTGAACTGAAAGTCAGAGTACGGAACCGGCGGAGAGTTCATCTTGCGCTACTTGGAGGTAAAGGATAACTACTTTAAATTAATTTGAAGTTTAAAGGACCGGTAACCGGCTGTCCGATTGCCGAAACGAGCGGCTAGCGGCACAGCTCGCATTTCTTCCCTTTTTCTCCTACTCCGAGTCCGACTACAGTCCGACTACGGTGACAAGCCGCCCTCCGTTCCAGCCCGCCTCCGTTACCCTAAAACAAGTAAAAAGCATGTCCGCTCTGCCTGAAGACTCCGTTCAGGATGGCTCCATCGATGCTCAACTTCATCAACAGCAGCTTGCTGGCAACGACCAACTCCAGAGTGCGCAGCCAACGCCCTCTATTTCTGAAAGCAGTACCAGAAAACGTACGCATTTTAAAAATACTTTCTCTATCTCAACTGATTTAACTAGCGAAAGCTCCTTCAGTCCGTCGCGCTTGTGTAGCCTGCCACACTGGCAAAACGAGGTGCAGCGAAGTTTTACCTTGTCAGGTAGGTCAAGTCTCATCGTCTCATCGTTATCTGATTTGTCTCAACCACTATTCACAGAGCTGTCTCAAGCGCGGTTTGGGAGCTACCTGTGCTTATCCTGATCCTGATGCACAAAGCAACAACAATAATAGCCAGCATGAACCATCTCATTCCGGTCAGCCATTCTCAACCTGTCCTCCATTCATCATACTAATTAATCACTATTTCTAGTCACCTTTGCCGCGCCTCCAATGTATGCGCCCCCTCATCCTGCTGCTGCTGCCTCTACTCCAGCTAATATGAACCACACTCAATACTATGACTATAATGGTCATTTCACTGGCGCTTCCTCTTCCTCCTTCCGTCCTGCTAAACGCCCGAGGCCTCTGACCGACGAAGAAGCTCAAGCAATCACGCGTAACTTCTCCAGAGGTGACTTTTATGTCGGGAGCAGCGCTCCTGTGAGGATTGACCCAAGGTTGCCTGTACGACTCACCTTGGGCGAAGGGGATCATGTGCACTTTACTGTGGGAGACGCCATGGTCTAGGTGCACTATGGCGTCGTTCTCCTCTATGTATCTTGTTTAGTTATGTGTATACTTCTGCTCTGATTCTCCAGTATTTATCGCCATGCCCATGTTGGCGGTATTCCGTTCCCTTGTGTTTTACATATATGCTTCACCTCTCCGTCTCCCGCAGCTTCTACTCCTTGTATTGCTTAGTACCGTAAAGTTTGAAGCTGAATGCCAATTCTAAATTCTCCATCCCTTTATTCATTCTGTGATCACTGAACACAGTCTTCACTTCACTTCTATTCATCCTCAGAATATCTGAAACGAGCGCTCGACCACCGCCAGCATCTCTAACAGGTTAGATTTCCAAACTCTCTAAATCCTACTGGTCTGATTATCGCTGGTTTCTTTCTATCTGTAGATCTACCGCTCCAGCTACTACTGCTATGTGTATCCGGAACGTTGTCGGGCCAACCATCGTTTAGAGGAGAACTCGGGGGAGCGCAAAGTCAGACCGATTTTGCGTCAGACAAAATCTTCAATTGGGGCGCACTGGTTACAGTATTACGGTACTGTAAATCACTGCTCAGCTAGATGTAACAGGTACACACGCCATGCCATTGGACACAGAGTCACTGCTGTACCAGTACTGTAACACGAAATCCCGACGCGCGAATTCCTCGGGCTCAGCCTCAGTTACTTCCACTTCCAACCTTCTGTTGGACCATGATGGATCTGATTCGCGGACGAATGGAAGACAAGCGTTTCAACTTATCTTCATATCTAAGCAATTCATGGAATTTGGGACCGAGTTAGAACTACATCCGAGTAGGCGGAACTGACGTTGATACGTTTCCGTCCCCGTCTTGCCCATCCTCTTACTACCCAAACGCGGATATCTCAAGGTAGCAAATGTTCATCCATGCGATGTGTAGGGTGGTGAGGGCAGTATGTAAGTAAATACTTACGACGTCGCGGTCCCTGAGCTCTTGAAGTAAAACTTTTTTTTCTCCGTCACCCGCCATTCCATTGACACTGCAATAAGCACGCGAACTCGCGGCGACTGCACATCATTGCGAACCCAAGAATATAAGCAAGGAAGTACTTATTGACGGGCGACGGAACGACGGAACATGGTTTCTGGGCGGAAACGGAGGTCGACTTCCAACGGACGGCGTCGGTTCTCCGACGCTCGATTTTTATTTTTGTCCCGTAATTACTTACGGGCGGATGCATATGGGTGAAAGGCTCCGGATGCTTGGTCTCTTGCCTCTCTGGGCTTTCTCTGAGCTAGGGACTCTGACGGTGGCACTCGATTAGGGGGTATCGACAATGACAGATTCGGGTTTAGCTCGAACGAAGCCATCATTGTCAGTTTAGAATCGCTTAAACGTGCGGAGATACTTTATATTCTTCTCGGAGATGTTGTGTGGAACCAGGCCTGTTAGTTTATATGGATCACGGATGCGATATGGCGAGATGGCCGAGCGGTCTAAGGCGCCAGACTAAGGAGACCAGCGTATCTGATACGCAATTTCATCTGGTCCGAAAGGGCGTGGGTTCGAATCCCACTCTTCGTCATTCGCATCTGTCCCTTTCGTTTTTTTTTATTGCACTCGAGACTACGGAGTATTAGTTACATATGTACATATCAAGGTGAAAATAATCCAGTTTCAATTCCGTTTGTTTCTTATCTAGACTAATACCTATTTATTGCGGAGGTGCATAATCTGCACAATATGCTTCCCATAACGCCTCCCTGGGCCAATTTGTAAGCTCAAGAAACAAATCCGCCTCTGATTCCCAATCAGATTCCTCCAAACGAGCATTAAGTGCGCGGAAAAACAAGCCTTTCCCAATCGGTGGAGAAGGGCCTGAGGGAGATGGCGAGGGGTTGGCTTTGAGATACTGTTCATCCTCGCACGGATGAGTCCATATCGAACGAGGTGGGTTTGCTCTAGTATCAACCTGCAAATGAGTCAATCAACATGCTCGCCGGATAAATTCAACAGGAGATGTACATAGAATGGATGACCAGATTCGTGCTCTTGCTTGATCCAGCCATAAGGAAGAGGAAGTTCAGGCATAGAAGTTGCGGATGGAGGTGGGGCAGATCCTGCAGCGGATGTAACAGGAGGAGACCTAGAAGTTGTGTTTTGGAGGGTATTCCGAGACGATTCGGGCCATGTTTGCCAAGTGGAATCAATCCAGTCGAAAAAGTAGGCTGTTCGTTCATAACCTGCATCCCAGTTCCAATCCCACTTCCATTCTCCAGGATCGTTGGGCCTTTCAGGATCGGGTACGTGTTTACCTTTGGGTGCGACCCGTTTCCAGTGAGGAGGTGGGAGCTTATCATGGAGGCGGACGCAGTCTAGAAGATATCTGTGAGAATAAAGATACAGAGGTATTGTGATGAGTGTATTCACCTGCGATACCTTCGATAAGCCCGCCAGGAGCCTTGCCTTTCCCATTGTATTGGTAGCAGTGTACGATCTCATGTACAAGAACACCTAATATCTCCTCACGTACTCTGGTATTCTTCTTTTCTGCTGTGTCTCCTTGATGCGAATTGACAATGTGCTTTAAAGCAAAGTGCACCTGCTTCTCGCCCTCGCCAGAGCCGAATGTATGAGCGACACCGTCCATAGTAGAACGGAGAGTGAGAGTAATACGCTTGACACTCTGAACGCTGGAATATTTGGATTAGGTTTGGAATATAATAATTAGGCCACTCACGCTCGAGGGACTTTATTCTTGCCAACACGCCCGTCCCAGCCATAAAGCCACTTCCAGCTAGCTTCTACAGCTCTTCTCAACGCATCGTACGGGTTAATCTGGCTAAAGAATAGCTTTGCGCCCGGGTGGCCTAGATCTTCTACATGAAAGTCGAATTGAGGAAGGATCCAGTCATTAGCGGGAGCTACAGCGACATGCATGGTGGTATGGGACAAGATTGATTTCCTCGGAAATCTGCGCTGTCATTTTTTCAGAGTAATCTTTCTTGGACTTGATTTTTGGGGCATTGATGCAAAGTGTACCATTCGGCCTTTAGCAGTTTTAGGACAGCTGCAAGTTGAAGTAGGCAGCAAAGGGCGAAGCGCGCTCGAAAGCATGACCGGTGAGTAATTGACACGAGGTCACAGGATTTCATTTACCATTTTCTTCTCTTCTACCCTCTGTTATGGAGATTATTGACGCGTCGGCTGCAGCCTCGAGCTCGGATCCATCTACTCCTCGATCTGCCAAAAGGCGAAAGCTTAGCGAGGATGTCGAAATGTCTAATGCGCGCAGCTCTTCGCCATTGACCGAAATGGACTTTGACGAACCCCAGTCTCTTCCAACTCCAGTATTGCTGATAAATTTGCCTTCTATTCTCATTCATCCTCCAAATCACCCTCTCCATGCTCAGTCACTTTGTATGTCGCTGCTCGCACTGAGAAAATGTCTACAGTTGCCAGATTTGAGCCCTGATATCGAGTGCCGCGCGTTGACTGCTGTGGCTGAACTTGGAATGTCTGTCATTGACGCAGGATTCGTTCAGCAAGAGCAACACGTCTGGGCTCATGGAATAGAGCAAGAAGTAAGCATGATTCTTCTTATCTCGAAGTCCCGAGTCCCGACTCAATCTTCGTTTTTTTAGGTGGAACAAGCAACGAGCAAAGGAGTAAGTCTTTTCTGGTCATTCTAAATGTGCGGTACACTAAAACATCATCCTCAGCTAATGATAGCCCAGAAAGTGAGCTCTAAAATCATCTTCTCTTCTTTCGTCTGACCCAAATTCAGCATCCCAGTCTGCGCATATACCGCTCACAACTAACGTTCCTCGCTGCTCAGCTTGCAGTATGGCAGAATAACGTCAAATTTGCGCGAATGTCTCTCCGTCGACTCCTGACCACCTACTTGCCCTCTGACCCACCACACATCATATACATTGCCCACTTGAAATTTATCTCGTACCAGATCACCCCTACCGAAGCACGGACATCTCATCCTAATTCCGAATCGTCACCAACAAAACTTCCATCAGAGGTCAGGCAGACGTTGTCTGCAATACAGGCCTTGCAAAACCATGGCTCAAAGTACGGTCATTCAGGAGTCGTCCTTTTAACCCGTGTTCTCCGTCTTCGACAGCTTGTGTCCTTTGGCGTATGGGACCAGGTGAATGAAGCTTTAAACGAGGCCGAGGAGGCACTCGGGCTCGAATTTTCTAGCGAAAAAGACGCGTCCTCTCAACAACCTGCTGGTATATCCCCTCGTAAGGGTCTACGCATCACTGACCTCAACACGGTTCATATGAATCCCCCTTCGCCGATGAAAATTGCTTCCCTCGAAAAAGCTTCGCATACGACGGCTCAATCTTCACCGCATGCATCCGCAACGGGCCAGTCTGAGCCTTCGTTCAAGATGTTCGACACATACCTCGAAAGGAGCATGGCGCTGCATACACTCATCATTGGTGTAGTGTTTTATACGTATGTGGGTAGGATATCGGATGCTACGCAGAGACTCTCCCATCTTCATGCTGTACTCGACGCAGGAGCATTGCGTTTCGAAAATGTTGCGTCGACTCCATCAGGAGCAATACCCGCAGAAACAGAGGCGTCATCTGTAGAAGCCCCATCTACCACAGACGTGCCTCGGCCAGAGCTCACACCAGAGGCCATCCAGGAAAAAGAGGACGCCGCATGTGGGATTGTACAGATCGCATTATCCGAGACTTCACCTCCCTTGTACGTTCAGACGACGCACCCACGAATACTGTATACCCTCGCGTACCTGGTCTCGTGCGTGGCGAAAAAAGATCCAGTAGGGAGGAAGCCAAAGCGAAAAATTTTTGCAATGGAAGGTTTGACGACATGGGAGAGGGAGCTGAACAGGGAGCTGCGATGTGAGTTGTATTTATTCAACGAGATTTACTCGAGGCTGATACTATCCAGTACCCTCTTGGGCTAGCATGGGTGATTTCGAGGAGATCGATATAAAGCTGGCAAAGATCAAAGCCGACTTGATGTGCGAACTTGCTGGGGTAAGGTTCTATGCTCTATCCCAAGCTAATGTCACTAACATCGTCCTTAGGTATCTATCATGCGCTCAGAATTCGATGCCGCTGAACAAGTAAGTCCGCGATTTCCGGCTACTCAAAATCGGATTTTTAACGAGGTGTTCATAGACCCTAGCGGCACTGATAGCCCACCTACGAAACACTGATCTTTTCGCGTCCTTCTCCAGCCGTGTTACTCTACACCATGCGCACTTGGCTCATGCTAAAGGCCAGACAGAGCGGGCGATGGAATGCTACGAGGTTGCAGAGGCCTTTGCGGAAGAACGCGGAGATGATTTCGTGCGCATCTCGGCTCGTGCAGGAAGGGCTTGTTTGAGAATTGGGCTAATCAGAGACAGGGAACATTTGCAACGTGAAAAGAAGGAGGAAGAGGAGGAAAGTAAACGGAAAGATACGAGAATGACTAGGAGCCGAGGGAAGAGTAGAGAGAGGAAGGTCGACGAGGAGGCGATGGATGTGGACCATGAAGCAGTAGTAGTAGACGCTGATATTGACGATGAAGCGGGCAGGTGGGAAGATGTTCAGAGAATGGCCGAGGAGGTTGCAGAAGAATGCCGTGGAATGGGTGGAACGATGTGGAGTGTCGGTAGGGTTATAGAGGCTTGCCTTACTGATGAGATTCTCAAGTCAAAGTTTGTCGTTTTCGCTAATTTTACGAATTCAGTGACTTATTTTTTCCCCTCTATACAGACAACACCTCAAATCCGCCCTCTCATTTGCTTCCTCCGCAGGCGATAATCATCTCCGTACACTGATTCTCGCTCTTATTGCCTCTCACTACTTTCACACATCGAGCGAGGACGCTCTCGGAATGTTAGCTATGTGTGAGAACCTCGCTGCAGGACTGGGCGCTGCAGTTAAGCCTCCTCCCGGTGCAAAGGGCAAGGAGAAATCGACGGATACAGTTGGGAACGCTCCGTTGAGGACTTGGGTTGGAACACGGAGCCTCGGTAAGTATCTTTTACTCTCTGACACGCAAGATGTTGAGGTAGAGTTTTGCTGTCTTCTAGAAATCTACAAGCGGAACGGAAATGCACCTGCAGCGAAGAGACAGGAGACTGCGAATCGTGCAATGCAGAATGCCATACGAAAAGCAGAAAAAAGGTCGGCAGCACAGACTGTAGACCGATAGTCATACTTGGATCCCGCTCTCCATTGCACTGTTATTTCTGTTGTCTTCTTGCCCATTTCCTCGTCGGACTACTGCTTTCCTACGTTGCTATTTGCCCCCGCATCTGCCAAGTCAAAATCATTCTTGCTACTCATTTAATTTGCATGCACATCAGTCCGCTTGCCTGTAATTCTGCATTCATGTACATAGATATGCACAATCGAACCACAAAGACACTGTGTACCATCCTCATTGGCCAGCGAGAATTTGATGATCTTGCTCGAGCAGGAATATGTAAATCTTGAGTATGCATACATACGTTACAAATAAGTTAAGTTCAATACAGATGTGTAGCTAGCTTGAACAAGCTGGAATAGCTTGGTATTTCGAGTATTCCCGAGGTTGACA